AAATTCTAATTAATAGGATCTTTTTGTGGCATACACTGGAAAAATAATTTCTGTCACTTCAAAGTGATAATAATGTCTTCTTTGGAGAAGCTGAAAAAAACTGAATTATATTAGCTATCATTTTAGTTTTTTCATTTGGATAACAAAATACATTTATTATTGTTTAATATGTAAATAAATCTTTGTACAGTATTCTCATTCCTGAGCTAAATTAGAATATCCCCTCTGGCACCATGAGGATACAATTCACTCTTTTTGGCCTCTCCTTTACATTGCACCTGTGTGCTCTTAGAGAACCTAGCAGAGTACACCAAGCTGGGGGATCAGATTTTTTATGTGGGTAATTGTTAACTAGTGAGGCACCACCTTCTGTTCTATATGAAAAAAAAAAAAAAGTCTTCCTCTTGTGCCGAATTGGAATTAGTAAACATTTTAATTATTTTTCAAAATACTTTAAAAAATATAGTTTTAAATCCTTTACATCCTTTTTTGGTGAGAAGCACAGGTTAAGAAATTTGCTTCAGGTCACCCACAAGTAAATGGAAGCATCAGTTCTAGAACCCTGACCACCTGTCATCTAGCTCTTTCTGTTAGACCTCAGTACAAACAGGAGCAATACCCTTTTTTGTAACATTCTCCTTAATACCTGTGAGAATGTTTACATTTCACACAGAGTATTCTGATTGTGCCAGAAATAAATTTAAAAACATTAAAAAAACATGAACATATGCTATCTGGAACATATAATGTTTACTGTTGATATATATAGGTATCCAAATATCATTTTTGTTACATCAAATAACATTTTGCTATACAAGTATTTGATGAGATGTCACCATACAACAAAGCAGATTGTTTTCTAGAATGGTTTGAAGGCATATCAATTGACGGTTTATTTTAAAATACTGCTTACAATGCCAATCATAATTTTTTAAAAGATAAGAAAATAACATTTGAGACAAGATTCAGAATGAATAATCAGTCTTTAGGATAGAAAGAGAAAGGTAATCCTTGCTTAACAACACAAGCACAAAAAAATGGTTACACATATATTACTGATAAAACACATCACAAGTTGAAGGATAATGTTAGGATTTAGAAATATGAACTGCTTAAAATTACAAGTAATAATAGTGGTTCTGTTGTGTGTGCCATGCAGTTGATTCTGACTTGTAACAACCCTGTAGGACACAGTAGAACTGCCCCATAGGGTTTCCTAGGCTACAGTCTTTACAAGAGCTGAAATCTAGGTCTTGTCTCCCTAGAAATGGTTCATGGATTTGAACGACCAAGTTCTTGGTTACCGGTGCTCCTAACAGTGGTTCTAGGTGCCTATTTTTAAGCCTACAAAGTCATTTTCGTACCAACCTAAGCTGGATAAAGAAACATAGCAAGTGCTAATACTGGTAGCATAATGCCTAAGGCACTTGACTGCTAACCAGAAGGCTGGCGGTTCAAACCCACCAGCCACTCCTTGGAAGGAAGGTTGGGCAATCCTACTTCCGTAGTGATAACTGCCTCGGAAACCCAAGGAGGGGTCGCTAGGAGTTGGGGCCGACTCTATGGCAAATAACAACAACACTAAATAAAAAGTGTTACTAGATATGTGTAAGGCTATTTTATGTATTATTATTTTACATGGATTTTGAAGATCAGAACTACAAATAGCTGAAAAATATTTTAAATTGATCAATTGACAACTAGTGAATTTCAACCAATTGTTTTTAAAACACCTTAAAAAATAAATTTTAGCCTATTTTCCTTGACTATGGAAGATGTTGAGTTAGTGCCTGAGGGAAATATTTATTCACAGGATTTTCTTTATCAGTAGATATGATTTGTTAATATGATAGAATATTAATGGACACTTTCAGGTCTAGTAATAACTTGCATTGATAAATAACTGCCCAAACTTTGTTAGAACTACTTAGTGAAATGATTTGTTCTCTTATGTTCTGAAAGACATAAAAATTGTCCTATGCGTTTTTGCAGAGATAGAGGAATCATTAAATATAATAGACTATATGAGAAAACTGTACATTAACACATTCATTTCCTTGTTACGGAGATAAGAGAGAGGAATGATGTTTGTGTTCATCTAAAAGATGACAAGTGAATGTTAAAATCTGTCATTCTTCTGCTTTGTTTATTCTTGGAAGTTTCATGATCCTGATATTAACTGAACAAACATTATACCTACTTTGTATTTTTTGGGAAAAAAAAAAGTGCAAAAGATCAGAGAAGAAATGGTCTTGTTTTTCCCTCCATGAGTCACCCAAAATCAACCCTCTTTTCCTTGCCTACTTATCTTGTGTCCCAAGGATTATAATTCCTTTTTAGCAGACATCCAAATTTCAACCCAGTCAGCACCACTATTGGAAGCACTTACAACTTCCATTCTTGATAAAACAAATATCTACATTGGGCTTGACAGAGATAAAGCTTTTTTTGGTCTTATGAATAAAGCATAGGCTCCTCTCCACAGAAAAATAATTCTATGACTCCACCATCCCAATTAGCATGTGACTCTTAAGTTCTTTTTCCAGATAGGGCAATTAATTTCTTTGTTCCAAAGATACTTTTCTGGAGCAATTTCACATTGACTATAGCCATCAGTTTTCATAAGGAAGGTTGGGCAGTCTGCTTCCATAGTGATACTGCCTCGGAAACCCAAGGAGAGGTCGCTATGAGTTGGGTCCGACTCGACAGCACATAACAACAACAACAACAACAACATAGCTATCAGTTTAAGAGTTGAAATCTTAATATGAGGAAAAAATTGGCTGTAAACTAAGGTTTAAAAAACTTTCTAAATTAAATATGTCCTTTTTAAAATTTTAAATCAAAGTGTTTTAAAAACAGTAGCATGTACCTAGTGGGGCTTGATTTGTACTGAATAAAATTTCCATCTAATATGGTTTTCTAAGTTATATGTGAGAATACAAATGACTGGAAACACAGGTCGCATTCAATTGGGATCAGAAATTAAGAAAACCTCTGCTGGTTGCTGAAAATGGTGATGTTTTACTTTATTTTCCTTGCTGTAAATATAAGTGTTCCAGCCCCAATTCCAGGGCCCCTGCTCCAAGGCCAGCCTTTCTCCACCTCCCAGGAAGACCTCTGAGTGCAGGGCCAGCCTTTCTCCACCTCCCAGGAAGACCTCTAGTGCAGGGCCAGCCTTTCTCCACCTCCCAGGAAGACCTCTGAGTGCAGGGCCAGCCTTTCTCCACCTCCCAGGAAGACCTCTAGTGCAGGGCCAGCCTTTCTCCACCTCCCAGGAAGACCTCTGAGTGCAGGGCCAGCCTTTCTCCACCTCCCAGGAAGACCTCTAGTGCAGGGCCACAGTGGAGGCCTGGAAGCGTCTTCACTGCCTCGCCTCATCCTTGGATTTGCAACACAGTGAAGTGACGGAAATCTTCCTCCAACAATCGTGAACCCTCTGTTCTGCCCTCCTAACCCTCAACTAAATGGGTTGTTTAAAAAGCAAAAGTCAAATTTAGGCACATCTCCTCAAAGATGATTTCCTTCCTTCTAAGCAGCGGTGAGCAAAACATTATAAAGAACTCTTTCCTCATGAAGCTCATTTTCTAGTTGGAAGGGGAAGGGAAAAGCATTAGAAAAATACAAAAGTAACTTGACAATTAAAATGCATAGCATGTCAGAAAGTGATAAGTACTACGCAGACAAAGCAGGGAGGGAATTAAGGGGTGTCTGAGGCGGGTGGCAGCAGTTATGGTCAAGAAGATCTCATTGCGAAGGTGACATCTGAGCAGAGATTGAAGGAGCCGAGAATCGGGATTTGAGGAAGAGCATCCCAGGCTGAGGAAACTCCAAATGCAAAGGCCTTGGGGCGGGAAGGTGCCTGCCTGGCTGTATTTGAGGAACAGCAAGAGCAGCGTGGGTAGTTAGCGGGAGGAAATGCGGTCGAAGAGGTTAAGGGAGAATGGGTCATATAGGTTCTGGTAACCATTCTAAGGACGGTCCGAGAAACGAGAGGAACCACTGAAAGATTTTGACTAGATGATAGCATGACTTAACAGCTTGTTAAAAGCGTTCTTCTGGACACTAGCCTAGGTGCAGGTGCTGTTAAAAGAGACCAGAGGGATAAATCTGGTAACAGGTGTCACAGAGTTTGTACATACAATTACTGAAAGAGGAAAAGGGGCGAATTCTGGAGCTATTGGTGTTTGAGTGTAGATGGGGAGAGCGGGTTGCTCTGGGAGGTGCAGCTGTTTGGCTTTCAGGCCACGACCGCACAGAAACCTCCAGTCTTGCCACTCCTGCTCTGGTCCCCACCGGAAGGGTCAGAGCCTCCGCCTGCAAGTCGTGTTGCTATGGAGATCACAGACCCAACCGGACCTTCTCTAGCCCCTGGCTCCGCCTCCTGACCGCGAGGCACTGGGACGCAGAATCTTCTCAGGCTGGGGAGCCCAGTCTCGCCCAGAGCTGGCTTATCTGTATTCCGCTGCCCGCGGCTTGCTCGCCCCCGCCGTGACTCACGGCGCGGGCCAACCCAGCAGCGCCGGGCCCCCGCTGTCAGCGCGACCCCACCACCTCATGAAGCTCATTTTCGTACCCCTCACCAGGGGCCGACGCCCGAGACCCGCAGCAGGTCCTGCCCTTAAGCGTGCCGGGTGGCCCTGGGCACTGACACGCTTGTGCCCACCTACGTCGAGCTTTTTCCGCACCCGGTCCGCAGCTTCAGGCTGCAGGTCCACCGCGGAGAGGGGCCGCCCTGCGCCGGACTCGAGGGCAGGGCGCCCCAGGAGACCTACTCTAAGGCCTCCCCGCGAGAACTCCCTGGGGACATTCAACTTCCCTGAGCGCCGTTCAAAGCTCCCCCGCACCTCCTGCAATGCACCAGACCAGGGAGGCAGACATCCGAGGCCGGTGCATTGCGCCCCCTCTGGGATGTACTGTGAGCAAGAGGTGGACAGTCTATCGGAAAATCAGAGGATAGGCGGTACGGGGAGTTAGGGTTCGTTTGTCTCAGGACTCACCTTGTGCAGTTTCCACATGGCCCCCAGAGCCTTGACTTCGTGGCTGGAGTGTTTGCCCTCCTCCAAGCACTGGTAGCAAACCGGCATCTTGCACTGCACACAGTACATGCTATGGTTCTCCAGCTCGTGGTCTGTACAGGTGGAGACCTTGCGCGGGCTCAGCCGCCGACTCACGCGGCCCTGGGCCGGGGGCACCAGGCGGTGCTTGGCCAGGGGCCCCCGGGGCGGGTGGCAGCGCAGGCGGCACGGATCGCAGTAGAAGACATCGCACTGTTCACACATGACGGTGGCCTCCTTGGGCGCCTTCTCGCAGAGCTGGCACTTGAGGGCCGCGGCTTTGCTCTGCTGGTAGCGGTCGATCACCCCTTCCAGGACTCGGTTTTTGGGGAAGCCGCGGAGCCCCCGGTCATCCAGGATGAGGCTGCGATGGCATTGGGGGCAGGTGATACAGGAGTTGCGGGGTACTGGGGCCAGAGCCGGTGACAGGTGGGTGGCCGGTGGCGGCATAGCCGGGGGAAACACGCGGACGCCGTTGGGGGACCTCTGGCACGGCGTAGTAGGGGCGCTGGCGAACCCCCCATAGGAGCCATAGCCACTGTCCGCCTCGCTGTACAGGCTCATCTTGTCCAGGTCCAGGTAGTCATAGTCCGAGACTCCGGAGCCCGAGGCCCGACGGCTCTGAGGGGACTCTGACTCTGGGGTTTGTACCAGGATGTTGCGGGCGCACGCCTGACATAAATTGTGAGAGCAGGGCAGGATGATGGGTTCCCGGTAGAAGGAGCCGCACACAGGGCATTTTAACTCCTCTTCCATCTCTTCCATGGGGACTGGGCTTGCAGCGAAGCAGCGGCAGCTAAAGCAGGTGCCTGAACTGGAGAGGTGGCCAACGGGCCTCTAGTGTCCAGCACCTTGGCCAGCGGCGGCGGAGGCGGTGTTGGCGCCTTCCCGCGTTGCCTTGGCGCGGACTCCTGCGAGGCGCTAGCTCTAAAGAGTCCTAGAGCCTCCGTGCGGTGAGCCAGTCCCGGAACGCCTTCTTCTGCTCTCCTAGTCCCGCCCCGGCCTCCAAACCGCGGCCCATTGGGCAGCGAATGAGAGAGCGAAGCTCTCATTGGCCACAAGCCCCGTCTATCTCTTCTCCTCCGCAGGACACAGGGGGTTTGGTGAAGGAGTCTGAAGATGGAGCGAGTCTTCGCTCCCAGCAGCGCGAGCTCCGGAGGGGGCTGGTGTGCGGAGGCGATGGGACCAGGAAGGAGGAATTAGGCGGGATGACTCATACTTCGCCCCGCTTGCTTCCGACCTCCGATATAGTCACCGGAGCGGGTGGCGTGAGAAACCCCTCCCACAGCAAGTGGGCTGGCGGGGGGAGCGGGTGCTTCTCGCCGACAGTTTGCGTTTGGCTTCCAGCTTTGGTCGCTGCGCGGACCTACCTTATTTTGGCCAGTGCTGCGCATAGCAGGGGGGAGGGGGTGCGGGCTTCTCCTGCTACTGCTGGCTGTATTAAATTAAAAACCAAACTCATTGCTGTCCAGTCGAACCCGACTCATAGCGACCTCTCCTTGGGTTTCCGAGGCGGTATCACTACAGAAGTAGATTGCCCAACCTTCCCTCCAAGGAGTAGGAAGGAGTGGCTGGTGGGTTTGAACCGCCAGCCTTGTGGTCGGCAGTCCAGTGCCTTAGACACTATGCTGGCAGCATTAGCAGGCCCTTAAACTAGGCCTACATTTCTGAGAGGCAGCTGGGCATGTCTTCTCCTCCTTGACCCACTGAAATTTGCCCCTGGAGCTCCCACATACCTGGAATTTGAGGTGCTTGGTGTGAGCCCAGGGGAGAGTCACTTGGCTTCTTTGAACCCCAGTTCTTGGTCTCTAAAAGGGGATTTCCTAGTGTTGTCGTGAGATTTAAACTAGGTAATCTGTGTAAACCCTGAACCCATTGCCATTCCGACCCAGCGACCCTGTAAGGACGGAGTAGCACTGCCCCTATAGAGTTTCTTCCAAGGCTGTAAATCTTTAGGGAAGCAGACTGCCACGTTTTTCTCTTGTGGAGTGTCTGGTGCCTTCAAACCACAGGCCGTTGGGTTGCAGCTGAGCACTTTAACCTTTGTGGCAACAGGGTGCCTTGTTCTGTGTAAAGACTCGTCAAAATTTATGCCTCTTTCTTTTTATGCTTTAAATTCACACTGGGCCCAAAGGCATGTACGCTAAGGTGTGAACGTGCCTCTACCCTCACTTCACTCTTCCTGCCCCCTATTGCTATTTCTTTATCTAAGTTGCTCTCTGCTCTCAGCTCCTGAGTGAGCTTCCATGAGGCCAGCAGGACTTTTCCTTCCATATAAAGTGAGACAGCGATGGTTGGTCTATTTCTGAGTGCCTATAGTTTAGAAATCGTTCTATAGATGAATCACTGTGTTACTGCAAAATCTCAGTATTTGAATCCAGACACCATTATTCAATGGCATGCCTCCTGAACGTGGACCACAGCTTCCAGCATGGTGGTCTCTTCCTGTTAGGTGTGTGGTGATGGCAGTGATGTGGAAGGGAGACTCTAGTGTTTTTAGTCCTTGTATATTAAGCACCTCTCTCCTCCTTCTCCCCACACATGGCTGGAGATATCTAGTCCTGTCCCTAGCCTACGCAACTGTTGATTTACTGTTGGAAGATGCCCCCCAAAATCTTGAAGTCAAGAAACATTCTGAGGTAGTAACTTATTTGATATAGTACTTGGATGGTTGTCTTACCTGAGTGATTCATAAAGTAAATGACAAAACCTCTTTCCAAGTTCTAAGCAATCTTCCAATATCCAGTCTCCCAGAAGAAAGATAACTTGATTAAGTATAGTTACATTTATAATTTAAATCTAGTTGGTTGTTCAGAAAAAATGAATTTTTTATCACCTTGCCCTTGGAGAACTAGTCCAATAAACCAGGTTATCTTTCCAACACATTTTTCAGTTGCAATGAAAGCAGCAATTCAGGAGAAAGTCCTTGTTATTTAAAGCCATTATGATCATAAATTCTATGTGGTTTACTTTCAGCCTGGCTTTTAAGTAGTTGAGCCTAGAGCATCCAAAAGCGTAAGTACGCTGCTGGCAGAGAAAAATTTGAAGTGTAGCTGAGCTGTCTGTACTTAAAGGATACATTAAATTTGTGGGTAAGATAATTTGTTAATAGCAAGTAGTTAATTATTGAAAAACTGTTAGAAGTGTCAGTACCACTCATAATTTACAGTCCTTTCCATGGCTCTATATATATTTCACCCAAAGTCATGGTAGCCTTTGGCCAGTGCTTTGGACATCTCAAGGTAAGCAGCTGTTACTCCTTTCAGGCATTTAAACTTTGCTTGTGGCAGTGCATTATCTAAGAGTCTGCTTATGAGCAGAAAGCTTATACTTAGTTCAAAGTAAAGGTTAGTGTCAGGGACTATCTGAGTGTAATGACACTATTGGCTTCGTGAAGAACCTCAGTAGAATATAGATTTATAATATATTCAGTATACAAAGATTTAATCTATTATGAAGTATCTTTACATGATTTAATTGTTAGGTCTATTTGGTCAGGAATTAGAGAAATCAAATCAGTTCAGAGAGCTTTTACAATGACACATCTGTTGAGAGCTCACCTTGTTCCAGGGAGCGGGTTTATTTTTATACATATGTTATCTAGTAGTAACACATAGTGATGGGCCCAACTATCCCTATTTTACAGATGAGTAAAGTATTCAGGGTCAAATATTGATGAGCCTGGGATTTGAACCTAGGCACATCTGAGTTTGTTCCTTTGTTCATTCATTCACTCACTCATTCATTCAATAAATGCTGAGTTCTACACTGTCTCAGGTTCTGCATGATAAATTTCCAAAATGTCTTTATTATTGCCTCCTTTTCCTGAGAATTTATTATTATTATTGTGTTGATTTCTCTGAAGTAATTTTGTTAAGCCTTTGAAGATTTTCTTCTTATTTGCACTGTTGTTGTTGTTGTTGTTATTTGCCATCGAGTCGGCCCCCGACTCCTAGCGACCCCTCCTTGGGTTTCCGAGGCAGTTATCATTACAGAAGTAGGATTGCCCAACCTTCCTTCCGAGGAGTGGCTGGTGGGTTTGAACCGCCAGCCTCCTGGTTAGCAGTCAAGTGCCTTGGCACTATGCTACCAGAGCTCCCTATTTGCACTACTTGGTCATAATGTGCTTTAAAGCCCCCAATGAATTATGTTTGAAGGGGAATAAAAATCTGAATGTAATTGATGATATTGTAGAAATACCACACCATTGGAGGAGTCTCTTTTCTCTTCTAGCTGATGATCAGTCCATGCCCTGTAGCAGGAGGATTGATAACCCTGTAATTTCATCATTCCTGGGTTGACTGCAGATGTCCTCTTTTGTATTAAGTGGCTGATTATCACCTGAAATTTACTAACCTATTTACCCAAATGATGTTCTTTAGCAATGACTTGAGCAAATTTAAAAAGCACTAACTGGTTTTCCATTCTTTAAAACAAATGTTTTCCAGTTAAAAGTTTGGTAGCTTTCCTATTTGCTTTTGATTACACTGCTTGATTATTAACACACGATTTCTTTGATTTCAAAGAATGACCACTCACAGAAGAAAGGGTTCTCTCTCTTTTCTTTACATTTTCTCCAAGAGCCATTTATTCTTAGTTTAGGGGGGAAATCAATGATAGTGGCTGACCATATGCTTTGACACTTTAAGATTCTCTGATATATGGAAAAATAATGTTTGTATTTACTTAATGGTTAAGGAAATTGCTGAATGTGGTTTGTAAGCATTGCATTGTTTGCAAAGTGATGACTGTGATATTTTTATTTCTAAAATTGTCATGAAACTTCTTTATACAGGGAAACTTAGTACATTAACATATAATTTTAATCTTGTAATAGTTTGTACCATCCTTCATAGCCTATGTATTTCTTTGCTGTTAATATTTTTTTTGTCTTTTTAATTATGGAATTATTATAGTAAATGGTGTTTTGCCTACTTAATACTACTGAAAGATGACCTTAATCAAATTGTTATATATATAAAACAGAATTGATATATATGTATATATATATATATATACATATATATATATATAGTAATATATTACTAATATTTTGGGAGGGATAGGCAAGAGAATATTGGAAGATGGAGATTTGTGAATTCTGTATTAAGAGAGTTGGATGATAAAACCAGGAGACAAAACTTGTGGATAATAGGAATCCCAGAGCTAGGAAAAGGCACAGATGGAGAAAACCATAACCAAAGAAATAATTTTCCTGAACCAAAGAAAGATAGGAGATTGCAGATAGAAAAGACTTTAGAGTTAATAGATGACAATGATGAGAAAAGACACAGGCATAAGCAGATACAATTCATGAACTCCAACGGGAAAAAAAGAGAAAATCTCACAAGTTTCTAGATAATGAAACAAAAAGAAAAAAAAATCATATTAACATCAGTTTTCTTTCTACAAGCTTAAAGGCAAGAAGAATGTGAGAAAAAAAAATCTACACCCTACTAAAAATAAAAGAAGATAACCTAAGTATTTTATAGCAAGCCAGGAAGATATTTCCAAGAATTCAGAGAACATAGCACTCACATATTCCATCTGAGAAAAATACTTGAGAAAGGATTTTATACTAAATAACAAATAAATCTCAACTGAGTCCTCAGTTTGGATGAGGACTGAGTGGGGAAGTAAAAGTATTCTAAGGACCTGGTATTATTGAGAGAGAGGAAATAGACAAAAGAAAAGTGAAAAATAGAATGTCTTAGTTGGAGAAATTACTTGGTAGCTTCTTTTTCCTCACAGAATAGTAAATAAAT